GTTTGATCATTAGGCATTAGTAAGTTAACTCTAAAATCTGAAACTGCAGTAACAATAAATTAAGTTAAGTGTAAAAAATCCTCTGATTGTTGAGATGAACATGTGTCTTGAACATAATTCTCAAAAAGGTATGACTGTTTTTGATGAGAAAAGCTCAAGTTTAACAAACTGTAGAAATCAATGTCAATAGATCGTTGACTGTTGTTGAGGTTAATAAAATCTCCTCTACATATGTTGGGCCTAATAATAGTGATTGGTGCAAATCCTTCATTTGATTCTGTTATATTGAAAGTAACATTCAATGCATCTGCTACTGCAAAAACAACACAATATAAAAATAATGTCCAACATTGGTTTATTTCACTACTTTTAATTAATGAAATAAACCAATGTTGGACATCATTTTTAAAAGAGCTTGATCTCCACTACTGCATTTAATAAAATAACATTTACTCTCTGTATATTAAATGAGAATGACAGCTTCATTGATATGTAAATACTTAATGATATCTTGTATTATTTCACTTGTTTTGTAATAACTTACTTTTGTCGACTGTTCGACCTCTGGGGAGTCATTAGTGTTCTCTTTGTTATTGACTGTTAAGATCTCCTCATCATCAAAATACAATTTATCAACAATCTCAACATTCAGACGAAAGAAGAGTGTCAGATTTCCTTTCCGACTGTACACACCATGGTTCGAAAACTCCATATTTTCGGCCATATTTTTTAGCTTTCGCTTGCATTCACATGCGTTCAAAATGTGGTAAAAAGAAGAAAACTGTGATTAGAAAAGATAACTGCTGACCTGTTAATCAAAGGCTCGGCCATGCGGCAAGTGAAAGGCATGATGGGTTTGTGGTCCATTGCGGCCAGAGGCCTGGCATGAGTAATGAAAAATGCACGCTCAGATGGGACTGTGCTGCATCTTTTAGTTAGTTTGATGTCACAAAAATAGATGGCACTAAGACACTGATATTTCATGCCAGTTAAATGCAGCTCATTTTTGCATGCATTTCTTTTCATTTCATACATCCAATCATTTTATTCACGACATCATTTCAACACTATAAAATGTTCTTTCTTTTTGATATTTTCAAGGCACACTTCTCTTTATCTTTTCTATATACAATTCATGCATTTAATTAATTATTATTTACTGCCTTTATTTCAGAGGAAAGTATAGCTCATGCTTATAGTGAAATTAATGATTGCAAACAAGAACTACAGCAAGCAAAGAGAATCAGAAAAAATAGACAAGGTGACTCATAAAATTATTCAGTGAATATTTATAAAACATTTTATTTTGTTATTTTATGAATCATTGTTAAATTTTATTATCTGAATGTGGGATTTGGAAAATTATAGAGTATGATGCATTAGCACAAGGGATTGCCAAACACCCAGAGAGACAAGAAACATTGAGGTACTATATTTCAATTAATTTGATTCCATAATGGTTGTGATGAAGGTAAATGAAATGCATGACAAACAATACTTTTTCAGTCATTTATCTTTTAAATTTTTGTAGCAGAAAGAGGTAAATGAAAATAACCAGAAAAAAAAAACATTCTTAAGAAAATAAACAAACACAAAAGCTATCTTTGATTGCAAACTTTTTAACCCTCTGTTGTGGCACATAATTTTGCAAATCATTATTGTTAACAGGCAAATAGAAGACCTTGATAAAGAACTTAAGGAACAAACTGAAATTAAAGAAAGCTTAGCTAGTAAGGTAAGCTGGTAACTTGTATCTTCACCAATATTGGAATTAATAGATACAAAGAACTTTGTATAACAAAGAACTTACAAGATACTCTATACTTTGACAGTTTGTAGGAATACTTACATTTATCTTAAG